CCCCACCTTCCCATGGATGCAGGACATCCCGGAAAGACTGAGGCTCAGACTGGGGTGGACGCCGAGGCCAGTGCCGGGGTCTTCAAAGCCGTCCCTCATCCTGCTGTACGCTGGGAAGGATGATGCGGGGGCCCTGGATGCCTACCTCCATGCCTACAACCCGGCCTTCTCGGAGTACATTTGGGCGGTGGATATCAGGAGAAAGGACGGTGACCTGGGCCAGGACATGCTGGGCGAGGAGCCCTACTCGTCGATGTGCTCCATGGCCATGGCGGGCAAGGTCGCATTGGTGGGAGGTGGCCCCAACTGCAGGACGTGGAGCATCCTCAGGTGGTTCCCCAAACCGGGTGGCCCGCCGCCGGGCAGAGCAGAGCAGACCTTGAGAGGACTTGGAGCCCCGGGTTATGGAGGACACGGACAATGACAGCGTGCTCATGCTCCGTCAGATGTACCTGACCTCGCTGGCCTACAAGGGGCTGGGTCAGCTGACGGTCCCGCAGGTTGGCTCCTCTTTCCTGGAGCACCCGATGGACCCGATGGAGTGCAGCAAAAACCCGAGCGCAGCGAGATGCTCATCGATCTGGGTCACGCGGGCCTACGTTCAATGGGCGAGGGCACTCCACCACTCCCTCATCAAGTTTGATGAGTGCCGCCTGGGCCAGGTGGTTGTGAAGTCCACGGCATTGTCAACGGACCTTCCTCTCCACCATTGGCATGACCTGCGTTGCAACCACGGGTCTCACCCCAGGGGAGAAAAGCTCAACTCCAGTGACCTCAGCCGGTACCCGGAGCAGATGATGCAGGGTCTAGCAGCGGCCATCCTTTGCCGAGCGGGACCCGTCCTGGAGGCGCTGAGGCCGGGGGGCATGGCGCCCCAGGCTAACCCAACGACCCCCCGAGGCGTCCAAGGGAGCCTTCTCCCAGCACGCCGGGGGACAACAAGCGCCGGTCCCGGAGGCTGAAGGCGGGCCAGCAAGCGTTGGCAGGTCTGACCTTGGGCTCACTTCCGGTCTCGGCCTCGGACACTCCAGAGGCTGGGACATCGACACAGAGGACTGGCGAGGTGGAGGAACTTGGGGGGGAACTCTTCCCCTGGACCCATGGGCACACCAGGGCATGGAGATTTCGGATCGGCCTACCATCCTGCCGATCACTCACGACCCCAATATCTCCGACAAGGTCATGTACCTCCAGATGGCTTTCAAGCAGCGTCCCTTAAGAGACGGTGGAGGAAAGCCCTCATTGGGACGGTTGGCCCCGTGGGCCCGACCGCTGTCCAAAGCAGCAGCGCTGGGGGCCAAGATCTGTGTCCTCACTTCGCCGTGGGGGGACAAGCTCCAGGAGTCGCTCTCGTTGGGGGAGGGGTCACATCCCTTCCCGGAGGACCTGCTGGAGGACATCAGGGAGATTCTGGCGCCGGGGGCAGGCCGACCAGCGGACGGCCAACCCTTCTTCCTGGACATTTTGCACAGCGTGGCTCTGAACATTCAGGACGCCGACCACCAGTTTCCCCTGGAACAAGGGGTCCCGCTGGGGGTCACGGACCCGCCCCTGACCTCGCCGGGCATCTGGCCACTCAAGAAGGAGCTGAAAGGGGAGGAACCGGAGTTCCAGGAACTCCCCCACCCGCAGGGGTAACTACCCCTCGGCGGATCACTTCAGCGAGCTCATCCGGGGCACATTTCTGGAGGAGGTCCCCATGGGCATGGTGGAGGGCCCCTTCAGTAAGGAGGCGGCAGCATCGCGATGTGGCTGCGACAGCGAGGACCTTTGTCCCGGCCCCCTGGCGGGCATCGACGAGGGGGACAAGATCCGCACGATCTACGATGGCTCGGTGGCATCCAATGGGCAACGGCCGCATGTCCGCTGGCGAAATCGATGCTCCAGCCACTTTGGGCCTGGAAGATGGCCACCACCACGGTGGGGAAACCCCCTAAGGTGGTCAGGATGCTGGCGTTCATGCTGCGGTTCCTCTTCAACACGCCTTTCGTCCAGTACTCCCCTTACTTGCCGAAGTCCTCCTGGTGGGGTTGCAGCGACGCTAGCGCCTCGGACGACGGACTGGCATTTGTGGGAGGTTGGTGCTCCAACACGGTGGAACCGGACAAGAAGGAGGTGTACTGGTTCCATGAGCAGATCCATGTGGAGGAGTTCCCTTGGGCTTTCAAGAATGGGGATCCAAAGCGGAGGATTGCAGCTCTGGAGATGCTGGGCACGCTCTTCCTCTGTAACATGATCCTCACGCACCAAGGCCCTCTGTCCTCCCGGGTCCGACTCCCGGTGGGCAGTGACAATCAGGGCAACGTCATGGCGATGCTCAAACTTGGATCCAAGAAGCCCTACACGGCGGCGATCCTGATGGAGCTGGTCTTCCTGCTCCACACCCATGGCTGCTCGCTGGCGGCCAACCATGTGCCCCGTGAATTCAATCAATGGGCTGATGAGCTGACGCACCCAGACTTCTCTGGGTTTGACCCTTTGCAAAGGGTCCCCAAGCAGGAACTCTGTGAGGAGTTTGTTTTTCTCCCGCGTCTCCTGAATGGAGATGCATTTGATCTCAGCGTGGACCCACCCATGCTCCCGTGACCGGAGCCGGTGGGTGACTCACTTCCCCTGGTGGCAGACCCCCCTGTGGCCTGGGTGCCACGGGCCCCGGCTCAGGGGCGGGCGCTATCAGTCTGCACACCCGTTCTTCAGTTTTTGAGAATTGTGAGTTGGGTGGCCCATGAGGCCCACCCAGCTTTGGTCATCTGACAGGGGAAGATGAGTCCCTGGCACCAACACACTGCTCGGATGAAAGAGTTATCGCGTGCTCGTGTGTGGCGCCGTTTGGTTAGCTTGCATACAACAAGAAAGGCTAAAACTTTATTACTGGGGTTGGGAGTTCTTTGCTTGGGCGGGAGGAAGGGGGTATGCGGGGGGGGCTAGGGAAACCCTTTTGCCAGTGTTGAGGATGTATTTTTGGGTGGGGTTGTGGTGAAAGGCAGCTCTACGTCGTTTGGCTTTAAGCCATCACCTTTTGGGGCCAAAGGTCAATAGCTGGCGTTTTGAAGCGGAACTATCCCCCTTAAAGGTACCAAGGGACCCTCTGGGATGTGGTACAATGTTGCCAAGAAAAGAACGGTTGCTGTCGCTCGGCTGTGGACGAAGAGTTGCGAGACTGACGGGCGGGTGCTCGAAAGAGATCTTGGGGGCGTGAAGGGACACGGGAGAACCGCTGGGCTGGGAACGGAAAAAGCTGGAACTGCAAAAAACCGGCGTGTCGAACAAAGCCCAGCGGTTGACAGAACAGCAAATGAGGTTGGTGCCAACGGATCCCGGTCTTTGAAGAAGGGAGACTTTCTTTCCGGAGTCCATTTTTTCAAACCACTTGCTGGCGCTCAGTAGTGAATGACCTTCCGGGTGTTCAGAATGAACCGGAAGGGGATTCCAGCTGAAAGGAAACCATGGGAGATTGGTTTTCTTCGGGGTCATTCCCTGCCTCATTCCCTGGCTATCCGAAAGAAAACACGGGCGTGTTCTTTTGGTATGAGTTCATACCCGTGAGGCATTCCACAAGGCCCGAGATTTGGAGTCAACTTTTGTGCGGAGGTTTCTCCGCATCTCTAGGTGGGGACCACCCCCTGTTTTGTTTGCATCCAAAGGTTCCTTCTTCTTTTTTGGTTTACATCCTTAAGCCTGTTGGCTTTTGCTTTTGGCCCCCCACAAGAGGTTGGGGGTCGAACAAATCATGGTCCCTTGAAAGAAGGTAGTATTCTTCCAAGACTACCCTGTGCACTGGCATGATAGTTGGAAGGAGGATACCTAATGTTGGGCAAGATCATCAACGTGTTGGATGCCTTTTGTTTTACCCATGCCCTCCCCTTTCCTCCATTGAGCCATATATACCCGTCCGCAAGAAATTGCTGGGAACACCCCAGAAAGATACACCATTTCGCAAGTCTCCTAGATCTTTGCCAGGGTAGTATGGGGGATTCTCAAAGTTAGTGACCCCTCCAGGCCTTGTGTGCCTTTCAAGCCATTCCAAGAGGGGGTCCATGATTTGGAGAAGCCTGGCACGATGGGCGCGCGGTCGAATTGGGTATGCTTTCTGGTTTGGCGTGCCCTTTCTGGGATGGCTGTAAAGGGCACAAGGAAAAGACTCATGTCTCATGTCGCTGATCCAATGGTCATTGCAACCAAGCTTGGAAACGAAGACGCTGTCCGCATTCTCCCAACTCGACCTTCTGCCGGGGGTTCGCTTGGTTTGAGGCTCAGAACACCTCACTTGTATTTGATGCTCGTGATTTACTTTGGGCACGTCCTTTCCGAATGGAAGGAAACCACTTTTGGGGCGGGTCCCTTCCACGCCCAAAAAAAAAAAAAACGCGATGTCGTGGGTGGTCCCCAACTAGGTTCCCCAGTAGTGCCCTTTTAACCTTCTTTGAGGGTTCCCCTACCAAAATCGACCACAGAAAAAAGTTGGTGCCCTTCTTCTAACCTCTCTACTGGAACACCTAGCCTCAGTTTCAGAAAGTTCGAGCCACGCCGCCATGGCAGGCGCCGCGAAACCGGCCAGGCCATCGGCCAGCCAACGTAGAACATTAGAAACATATTCTCAGTTGTCCAAAGCGAATCAACCTTTTAACCTTTTGGTTTTCCAATTTTGGTCTATTTTCAGTAAAGGCCCCAAAAGGTTAACCTTTTATTTCTGGGTCCTTTGGGCGACTGAGTATTGCAACCCTGAGAGGCAGAGTCGTCTTGAGGCCTCTCGATTTCGACACATGGGTGTTGATCAAAGAATCCCTTACGTGGGATGACCATACCAAAAGTCTGAAATTACCCAAATCAATGGGAAAGTCACCCATGGTCATTTATTTGGCGGCCAGGAATATTGATCGACCCCCACGTGGGTTTGTTTTTGTTGAGGCTTTAAAGGGAAACCAAAGGAAACCAATTTGGGGGGACTCCGATAATTTAAGACATGAGACCCGCCCACATGGCTCATGTGTCCCTGACAGGACGACGACCAGGAGGAAGACCTGCCGTACAACCTCATCGACAAGCTGCAGGATGGGGTTGGTATAGGGGTATGTGTCAAAGGCGGTGCTCCCATGCAAATAGGGTGCTTCTCCTGGTGTCCCCAAGCAACCACAAAAACGGTACCTGAAAAATAACGAACGCACAAGGCAGCTCGGCGATTTTTTTGGGAAGGGCGCGGGGGGCTAGGGGAGGGCAGGTTCCTCCACGAGTTCGGAAGCTCTCGGTTGGTGACTGCTTTGGGTTTTGTTCTACCCTCGCTCCCTGAGGTCCTGGACTAAAATTCGTTTGGGGGAGTGCATTTTCGTGGTGAACAAGCCATCCGGACCTTTCCTTTCTGGCCAAGCTTAGGATGCGAGTAATCAAACGGAGTTTCTGGTTGGTTCCAGCCGGTCCAGTCAGCTTTTGCTCACTTTGATACTGGTTTCAATTCAAATTATTGCCATGCTCAAGCTTGAAGAGATTTTTTTTTTTTTTTTTTTGCAGATGACCAAACACAAAAAATGAACAGTAACACAACGTGTTCTTTTTCAATGGGGAACCATAAGCTATGTGGACGCGGTTGGCGGTCGGGTGAGGTACATCGATGGGTCTAAAGGGTTTTAACCCTGCTGCAATTCGCTCAACTTGAAACTGTGAAGCAACTAATCCCTCCCAGACCTTCAGGATTTTGCTTATAGCCGGGGGGTGGGTGGGTGTAAAGAGGGTCCAACATTAGGAATAGTTCTTGACACCTCACTTAGCGTGGAATGTGGCGGAGGCTGTGTGACTGCTTGTTGCTGGCATCTTCTTTTGGACACGCACATCACATGTCCAGAAGCTTCCAACGGCGCAAGTATCGTTGATTGCGCTGTTGTCCTGGAACCGTTTCGAGCTGAGTGAATTAACAAGACTCCCCATGTAGCGCCCAGCTGGGGATTAATGGGGATGGTCAGCTTTTGAGGGGGAGGTTCGATTCTTGAACACAATATGACACACCGCGTGCAGAGATTGCCGCCATGCTGATAGAGGTGTTTGCGGAAGCAAGGTCTCTGCACGAGTTGACCCTGAGTACCCTTGAACAAGCAGCTAACAAGAGCGAACTTCCATTCTTGCCCATGTGGCGGACTGCCACACAGAAGGCGGGGCTTCCTTCCGGGGTTCTCTACGTTCGCGATCCCTGGGTTTTGGTAAGCAACAGACGGACCCCTCAGGGTTCGCCTCTTTTGGATGGTTTTTAAACAGGAGGCCTGCATGCCTTCATGCAACTACGTAGCCAGTTGGAAGACACGCACAAATGAGCTTCACGATGCAGGCCACACTTTGGGGGTAAAGTCAGATAGACTTGGTGACATATATAGTACAGTATTTGCTTGCAGAGTTTTCTGTCCGCCTCAGTGATCATGTGAGACACAACTACAACCCGGGCAGATGAAGGTTAAGGGACAGTCTGCCGCCCCCACTCATTGCGGTGGGGACGTTGGCTAGACCACTTTCATAGCAGGGGTTTGTTTATGTCTCATTTAGCTAAATGCGCGTCACTTTCCTGTGCCCATGGCGGGCGCCGTGTTTTTTGCCCGGAACTTTGGCAATGGTTTCGTTTAAGAAAAACAAAAAAACAAAAAAACACCAGGAAGCCGAAAAGGCCTCGGGGACCCTGAGTAAGAGAAATGCGGGACTCATAGGACTCTGGCATCAACGCGGCGGATCTGAAGAAGCTGAAGGATGTCTGGATCCCAAGGGCCTGGGCGAAGTTTGCATCACCTTGAGATGCCTTGAGATGCCTTTCAAAACGGGCCGCCTTCGGTGGACGATAAGCATAGGTGTTTCTCACCCGGCGACGGCGCCTAGATGCCAGATGGAAGGTCTGGGGTTTTGGGTCTACTATTTGTGATGCCAAGCTGAGTGGCAAGCAACATGAACACACATACATCGAAATGGGTCTCGTCTTTTTTTCGCAGGTGCATGTTTTCTCAGTCACCATATTTGGGGGTCCCCCAAAGCAAGACACATCTAAACACGATCAGCGGCCGCGTGAGAAAGATGGCAGGAGTGAGTCAGTGAAAGGTGTTAGCTGCTTGTTGCGCTAGCTGTTTGTTGTTTTGCCTTGTGGGCCCTGACTCTGATTTGATAGGTGATGCATGCTTCTTGGTAGGTTGTTATATTTTTTGTTTTAGAGTGTAAGGGGTAGACTGCTGCCACCGCCACTTCCCCGGGGTCCCCGGGTTCCCTTGGCGCAGTGATGTCCGATCTCGGCACCAGTTGTTTGTGTTTCAGAAACAAGCTCACTCATTTTTGGGGGGAATCCATTAAGCCACCAGTAAAGAGCATTTCCCATATGTGATGAGCCAAGGGGCTCCCACCAGATCAGATGGTGATGTAACCACGCCACATATAGAGTAACAATGCTGAAACATGGGTAACAGCGCCAAGAATGTGTAGTAATCCCGCCGAACAATAAGACAAGATCAGGATTATTACGATCCATTTGGGGCGCTGTGAAGGGCTGCACGGCTTTGGTGCACCGAGGCCGGGTTCAACACCAGCCAGCCGCGACCGCAGCACCGGGTTATTCTTCCGGACTCGCGTTCATTTCTGGGGTAGACTTAGGATACATTTTCCATTCTACCAGTGACTCAAAGTGAAGCAAACCATAAAATATACATTCTATAACTGGGCCGGGCCTATCTCTAATCACAATTTGGGTTGGGCTGAGCCTTAGAACGAACTTCAGGGGTCTCAAAAAAGGACCTGCGGGCATGGTGTTGCCCTTCTGTCGTCACTTAGCGGGCTTGCTATCGCGAATTATGTTTGTTTGGTTTACTGGCTTTGAAACTTGGACAACATGGGAAGAGGTCACTTCCTGTCACCTTCAATTGGGGATCCAGCATTGGTCTATTGGTGTTGGTTCCTCCAGTTCAGATGGTTCTCTTCCGCACGGAATTGAAGTCTCATACCGAGACTTGACTGTACGTACACGAGCGCTTGGAAGCTCCGCTGTGAAGGGGTGACCGAGAACAGCTTGCGCTGCCTAGCAAAGGTTACGGGCACACACAATAAAGCAAACGATTGCTCAATTGTCCCTTGAACAAACTTGGCGAGCTCTGTTTTTTTGCACATGCAAGTCATGATCTAGGGATTCCCTCAAAGGAAACCACAAGCGATGGCGTATGGGGGTCATTCCCGTATTCCCTGCGTATCGAGCCAGCAAGTTGTTGAACGACAATTGGCCAGAAAGGGCACCTTCAAGCATGACGTGCCCACTTGGTCCCTATGCCTTGGTCCATTTTCTGTGATACCAAGGATATCCCCCTTCAATGTGATACAACAGGCATGGGGCCCGGCTTTGATATCGGTCAGGGTTACCCCTTGTTTGGTGGTTTTAAAGGGAACCCAAACGGAAGACAAACCATTTTTGGAGTCCTCTAGAAACAAGACACCCAATCACAAAGGGAGGGTTCAAGCACCGACAAAAACACAAACAACAACAAGAAAAGTAAAAGATCGATTGAATACGAACAATCACGACAAGCAAATGGAGAAAAACGGAGGAGGATGGAGGGAAAATGGAGGAGGATGGAGGGAAAATGAAGGAGGAGGGAGGAAAAATGGAGGAGGGTGGAGGGAAAATGGAGGAGGATGGAGGGAAAATGGATGAGGATGGAGGAAAAATGGAGGAAACATGGAGGAAGATGGAGGAAAAAATCATGAAACATGGAGGAGGATGGAGGAGAAATGGAGGAGAAATGGCGGAGGCTAGCGGAGAAGTGGAGAAGGAATGGAGAAGGAAAGAGGAGAAATGGAGGATGGAGGAGATTTGTAGAAGAAATGGAGGAGGATAGAGGAGAACTGGAGGAGGATATGGAGGAGGATGGAGGAGGAGCATGGAGGAGGAGGACTATCCTCCTCCATTTCTGCTCCATATCTCCTCCAGCCTCCATGTTTCCTCCATTCTCTTCTATGTTTCCTCTATCCCCCTCTATTTTTCTTCATCCTGCTCCATCTCCATTCCTCCTGTTTCCTCCTCCATTCCTCCTCCATTCCTCCTCCATCCTCCTCCATTTCTCCTCTATCCTCCTCCATTTCTCCTCCATCTCCTCCATCCTCCTCTATTTCTCCTCCTCCACCCTCCGCTTCTGCATCCTCCTCCATTTGTTTTTTTTCCCCTCCATTCCTCCTCCATCCTCCTCCATCCTCCTCCATTTCTCCTTTATCCGCTTCCATTTCTCTTTCTTCCTCCTTTATTTTCCTCCATGTGCTTGTCGTGATTTTGGAATCGCCGCGTTGTGTTTCTTGTCGTGGTTTGTTATGTTCTTGTCGTGGTTGGCAAACATGTTTCCTTGTCGTGGTTACAACCCCTCCTCACCTAATCACAAGAAGGTGCCGGGATGCCTTGCTCGGACTCAGGTCTGTGGTCTTTGCCATGAGGAAGGACTTGTTGAGCATCAAGGGCCTTTCAGACCAGAAGGCGCTTGAGTCATTGAGTGCTACTCAGGAACCAACAGGCCCATTTCCTTCTACGCCAACAGGAAAACACAATGAAACACAGCAACGCCCCGGTTGCCCAGTGGCGCCTTTTTATCTTTTAGGTGGAAAGGTTTCCCTTCAAATTAGGCATATTCAGCACAGCCAACAAAAAGAGGGTGCCATGTTTCTTCTGATGCACGCTGGGCTTCTCCCACAGCGTACCATCCAAGATGAAACCTTACTGATACATTCATAAAACCATCTTCCTCTACAGGGACTATTTGGTGCGCTCCATAGTAACCGCTCAGAGAGTAAAGCAAACAGAAGCCACTCAACCCCAACTGTGATGCAGCCTGCTTGGGATTCATGCAAGGCCTCATGAACACACATCGCTGTGTATAGGTTGGGGGGATGAACACGAGGGCTGTTTTTCGAGCCCTGGTGCAATGTGCAAGTTAGAGGGCTGCTATTAAAAAGTCTACAGCAGTTTGACCGTATCTACTGTCGGGGGCAGTGGACCTGGCCTTTGTTGGGAGTGATTATTTGTTCACGGCTGCTGTGGACCATGCTGTTTCCGGACCCTTGCTTGGCTGTAAAGGGAAACCACAAGGAAGTCTGTTTGGGGGTTCCCCATTCTAGGAAAAACCCACGAAACTATGTGCATTGCTTGCTGAATTCATTGTTCCGCAGAGCCATGCTGAAGGTTGGTCCATGACTTTGCCTCTATTTTTGTCCCGCCAATTCAGGCTCCGGGACGACAAGAGGCGATTGACAAAAACAGGAGCTCCCAGAATTTCAGGGGAGCAGTTCCTTCAGATTCCCCTCAAGCATGGTTATTTTGTTAATGTTGAAACGCATGTGGAAACATGAACTGTGTTTGAAATGCTTGACCATAATGGCTCTTGCCATTTTGGCTCAAGCTTTGCCCTGGGTTCTTTGAACCCAATTTGTGTGAAAAATTTGAGTTTGAACACTTTCGAACTAACCCCGAACCAGCAATGGCTTCCTCGGCAACCTCGGCCACATCCTTTGAGCTGATTGAGGACCAGACGCTCACCGTGGAGGAGGTTGAAATGGCCAGCCAGGAGGCCCAGGAAATTCGCACACGCGAGGCGGCAGTGGCGGCAGGCCTGGTTTTGGACGAGCCCGAGGCCCCCCCGTCGGCCTCGGCTACTGACGTGATGAAGGACCTCTCCAGTGCACTGGAGCGTCTCCGTGTGGCGTTTGCCACACCGACTTCCGGCTTGGGTGCCCCTGGCGCCGCCGAGGAGGAGGACAAGGACATGGAAGATGCGGACGTCACGGAGCGGGCCACTCCACCGGAGGAGGCACAGACACCACCCACGAAGAGGCTGAGGGGTTTCGTGGCGGCTTCCCAGAAGACCACAGCTCATGTGAACAAACCGGTCTCCTTGGTGCCGGTGGAGGGCCGACCCGGTTACTTCAAGCTGGTGGACCTCCCAGACCTCTTCCCGGTCCTTCCGGCATCGGCGGCCACGTTGTTGAGGGACGTCACGGTGGAGGAGGCGGTCTCCCTGTTCGACAAGTTTGTCGGGAAGAATCTCACGGAGGACCTGGTGATCCGTATTTTGGAGGCCTATGTCCCGATGAAGATCCAGATCCGGCAGGAGGAGGTCTGGGCCTCGCAGTTCCAGCGGAACAAGGCGTGCATTGGCACCCAGCGAATGCACAGGCTCGATGCAGGCCAGTCCGATTACAAGTTCATGTGCAAGGCATGTGGCACGGGGTGGCCAGAGGCAGCCAAGCAATGCTGGGTCTGCCCAGGCAAGGAATTTGTCCCCTTCCAGGCTCCCTCGGCCACCTATGAGGCGGACGGCATCATCTACAACCTGCTCATCGAGGGCAAGCCGACCTGGATCCAGGCCCCGGTGGTACCCGGGCACAGGCAGACCGCAACCTGGTGGACGGCACGGTCCTGGGGCGAGCTCCTCCTAAAACGGACACGGCAGAGGAGATCACCGTGGCAGACGTGGTCCCGCTCAACAGGCGGGTGGACATCCGGCAGGAGATCCTGTCCATGGAGGCGGACGACGAGGCGTTGAAGGTCCGGGAACGCCAGGAGATCAAGGTCAAAGTGCAGCGGTCCCTGAAGGAGGCGGAGGCGCAGAGCTTCCAGCTCTACCACCCCCAGGTGGATCAGGCGATCCGGAAGAAGGAGGAGCTGCATAAGGCCTTGAGGGAGCATCGGGAACCGACCCCGGAGGAGTCCTCGGCCAGGCGGAGGCACAAGGAGTTGGTCACGGAGGAGATGCTGGACAACGAGATGGCTATCCTGGCGCCGCTCCAGGAGGGCATGCAGACCGGAAGGGGAAGAGCAAGAGCAAGGCACCCAAGGTGTGGCAGACTCAGTGGGAGAAGCCTAAGAAGGGGGGAAAGGGATCCTGGCCCTCGGGGCCGACCCGATCCAAGCCGAAGGGCAAAGGCGGCAAGGGGAAGTCCCCCAACACCCCCTCGACCCCATGGCCGGACCACTGGGCCTTCAAGAATCCCAAAGGGGTGGCGTACTGCAGAGATCATCACCTTCGCAACAAGTGTTCGGGTTCATGCGGCCGATCCCACAACTGCCCGGTCAGGAAGATGGGTAAGGATGGGTGGGTGTGTGATGCCCCCCCATCGAAGCATGTGCCACAGGCATGCCCACACCTTCCCAAGTGACAGGAGGCCACTCAGGGTGCCATAGGCCCCGTGGCTTCCTGGTCTCCGTTGGGATCACGGCCACCAGTGCGAGAGTGCACACAGCGGGGGAGAGCCAACCCCACCAGAGCCACAGCGGAAGGCAGACAGAGCGGGGGAGGCCAGGACGGCCCCAGGTGGGAGGGGATTTCTCCAGGGTGCCACCGGCCCCGGAAGCCCCTCCACCGAAGAAGAGGAGCGGACCCAGCCAGGGCACTCCAGAAGGGCGGAAGCACCCCTTTCCCGCACCCACCGAGGCAGTGGGAAGAACCCCCAGAGGTGAGGATCCGCCCGGCAAGGGGCGTTCCAAGGGCGGGCAGAACCGCCAGGGCAAGCAGCAAGCCCAGGGACAGAGGACCGGAGGGTCAGACAAAGGACCCACGGAATCCCTACAAGGGGCAACCCCCACTTTCCCATGGATGCAGGATACCCCGGAAAGACTGAGGCTCAGACTGAGGTGGACGCCACGTCCGGTGCCGGAGTCGTCAAAGCCGTCCCTCATCCTGCCCAGAGGATCCAGGATCAAAAAAAATCAATCTTTTCCTATAAAAAAATATCAATCTTTTTGGAGATCAATCTTTGCATTTTATAGCTGTTTTTTTGTGTTCCCAATCACATCAAGGAAGATCAATCTTTTCCTGAGAAAATATATAAAAAATATCAATCTTTTTTGCAAAATATCAATCTTTTTTGCACAAAAACTTGACATGTCCAAGAACTTAAGGATCTCATTTGCCCTTCTGCAGGGCACATGCAGCACACCACTTCTTTTTTTGCCTGGCGAAATATGTTAACGTTCTGTGTCACAGCAGCCCCTTCCAGAACCTGACACACATCATCAGCCGATACTTTTTCAAGATCTTAACAGAAAGCAAAGTGGCTGTTGTGCCAAACGATGCTGAGTGTGCAAGCTTGCTGATTCTGCCCACATAGTCTTCAGCCTTAAAGCACCATGCGTGTCTGGGATTGCCAAACCTGAAAGCAAGGGCCAAATGCTTGGCCATGTGAAATTTGATCACTGTGTGCCAGGTGAAGTCATTGGACCTGTGCAGCTGCAGCCACTTGTAATGCCCCAAAAAGGAAGTCATCAGAAAGGCTGCCTGGCAGGCCTCTTGCTCACTTGGAAACCTGGGAGCTGCATCCATCAAATCTACAAAAGCTGCCATGTCTTCAAAAATAGCCAGGATCTTGGAGGAGACTTCATCTCCTTCATGGAACTCCACTGCCAGTTGTGCAAACAGATGCACCAATGCTTTGCATTCCCCAGCTTTTGCCCTAAGGAAAGGCTGGGTCTGATGAGGCTTGTCGGGGCTGGTGAACATGGATAGCTTCAATGTGGGCAGCCTGCAATCCACTTCAAAGTCCTTGTAGAGCGACTGTATTTTTTGCCAAATATGTTTGACTTTGTCCCTTATGCTTCTTCCTGGCACAGCCTTTAAGTGTAGCACCAAAACTTCAACGCATTGCCCATACAATGAGAAAGAACACCTTTGCAAAACAGGATGTGCATTGCATCCTGTGCAATATTGAAATGGGATACTCCATGAATGGTAAAGAGTGGGTGTGCTGAGATCCTGCAATTCATTTCTTCTTGAGGTAGCCTCCAGCCTTCAATGTCTTTGTCCAGGTTGCTCTGCTGCTGAGGGCCAGTCATCTTACACTCCCAGCAGGGCTGTGCGTTCATCCAATGTGGCAGCTTCAGGACATTGGCAAAAAATTCTTGGTCACCCATGACCTGCCAGATTGTAAACCTGTAATTGTGAACAATGTCAGTCTTTCCTGCCTGCAGCTTAGAAAATGAAGGAACAATATGTGACCACAGTGTCTCCCAGGTTGCACTCACTGCACAATCTTTGGGAAAGGCCAGCAGCAAGAGAGATGAGCTCAATGATGGGCCTGAATTCAAGACAGAGCCCCAGGAATACACCATCATAGTTTTGCCATCGGCATACTCCACACCATCTCCATGAACCCAGAGTGGGACTGTTGCTGGTAGGTCCTCATGCTTTAAGCTGGATTCCTGCATGAGTATGGTAAGCCTGGGGTCATCAGGCCTAACATTGTTCCAAAACTCTAGTAGGCCATCTGGTTGGAAAATGCTCTGGAAATGCTCTGGGCTCTCCTGCAATGCTGCCACAGTGTTGCAAGGGTCAAAAAAAGCAACGTCAGTGGTCTTCCTCACTTGTCCTGGGGTTGGAGCAGGGGCAATCCTTGATGATAGTGGGCTCTGCAAAGGATGCCTTGCTTTCTGAAACCACCATCCTCTCCAAATCCCTGGACACATTGTTGGGGTGTTGTCCCCAGGAG